GCCCACGCTGGGGTGGGAGCAGCTCACACAGGTTGAGCGCCTATCATTTGGGGTCTGGGCAGAAAACCAAAAGCTGGGCTAGATATTTCCCCCAGCGGGGACTTCATTTAGGGGATTGACGGCCCAGATGTTGCAGGGCCCAGAGCCAGAATGGGAGGTCACAGGCACCAGAGCTAGACAGTAACAAGCAGACAGTGTCAGGAGGTGGGTGGTGCTGGGAAGAAGACCACAGCAGGGCAGAAGGATGGGGGAGAGAGGCTGGAGCGCCATGATTCCAGGTGCTCAGATCCGAGCAGGCCTCCCAGGGGGAGGTGACTAAGACCTGAACAGGGGGTAGGAGCCACAGGAGATCTGGGGCGAAGAACGTCTGGGCAGAAGAACGGTGCAAAGGTCCTGGGGCAGGAGTGTTCTTATTGGGCATTGAGGAACAGCAGGGAGTGGACTGGGGGGGTCAGGAAGAACAGAAGGGAAGGGGTGGAGGGGCCTGCGCACCCCCGTGAGACTTCAGTTTTCCTCTCAGAGGAGCCGGGGAGGGTGCTGCAGATCTTTTACAACCTGTGAAGGACAGGTCTGAGACTTAGGTGCTCCTGGATGCCTCCCGGCAGCCAAGTGGGGAGTAGAGGCGGGTGTGAGGGAAGAAGCCAGGAACCAGTGAGGAGGCCGTTGTAGGTGTCTGGGTGGCTCAGACCAGTGTGCGGATAGTGTGTGTGGATAGACACCCAAACTGTCAAGGTTTGGGGTCAGTGTTCCAAGGCCCCCCACATCCTTCACACCCCCTCCCCCTTGGCAGGCCCCCGATGGCCTCATCTTCCCGGACCGAGCCACACTGTATGTGACAGCCATCGAAGACCGGCAGTACAAAGACTACAAGATTCACTGTGAGCTCGGGGGAGGCCCCCTAGGAACTCAGGGGGGTAGGGCAGGCTCGGGCTGGGCACCCCGATGAACTCACCCCTTCTCCTGCCTGCCTGCCTGCCTCCCCAGGGTGGGAGAACGTATATGGCTTTGACATGTCCTGCATCAAAGATGTGGCCATCAAGGAGCCTCTGGTGGACGTGGTGGACCCCAAGCAGCTGGTCACCAACGCCTGCCTCATAAAGGTGAGGGCGGGGTGTGGCCGGTGTCCCCAGGGGCGGAACCAAGGAAGGGCCACCAGGTAATCCTGAGCCTGAGCAAGACAGGTCTCCTGGTGTTTGCCTGAGGCCTGGGAGTCTGGCCAGTTAGCCAGAGGTGGTGGTAGAGGCCCAGAGAAGCCACTGGATCCCTTTAAAAAGCTTATGAGCCAAGCCGGGGTGGGGTTCCAGGTGCCAGGGTGAGCGAGACCCAACCGGCATAGACTGCTCTGGGGGGATGTGTTCCACAGGGGCACCCATGAGCCAGGCAGCTAAGCCCCTTGACTGTGCCCCAGATGCAAGAAGCCCAAGGCCGCGAGTGAGCTGATGAGGGCTGCCGGGCCAGTGATCGGTTCTGAGCCCCCCAGTGTGTGCGCGCCGAGCCGGACACCGGGGTGAACCCTAGAATTGGCGCTGGGCTGCGAGAGGCGGCCCAAAGCTGCTGGAGGAGGAGGAAGTCTGGAGCGAGTGAAAACAGCAGCTGGGAGGGTGGGCACTGGGGAGCTGGTGGAGGGATTTGGAGCAGGAGTTTGATGTGATCTGATGGACAATGTTTAGAACCGTCACATTGGCTGATTTGTCGAGTAAGGGGCTGTGGGGGGAGGCGGGGGGCAGAAGTAGGGAGCCCCGTGAAGAGGCCCCTGCAGTGGTCAGGTGCTGGTGGTGGCCCCAGACGGGGCGGAGGCTGTGGGGAAGGGACAACGGGCGATTATCCGAAGCAGCAGTAGTGGCTCCAGGATGCGGACCCGTCCAGCGTGAGCTTTGGCCGCGGGAGAGAAGGGGGCAGGACCGCGGTGTGGCGGCCTAGGCTTTCCTGCCGCCCACTGGGCCAGGTGCCGGGGCGCGGGGCTCATGGGGCCTGTCCCGCAGGAGGTGGACATCTACACCGTCAAGGTTGAGGACCTGACCTTCACATCCCCCTTCTGTCTGCAAGTGAAGCGCAACGACTACGTGCACGCGCTCGTGGCCTACTTCAACATCGAGTTCACGCGCTGCCACAAGAGGACGGGCTTCTCCACCAGTGAGCGTGGGGTGGGGCCGGGGTTTGGGACAGGCGCAGCTGAGGGAGCCAGGGGGCCTGTCATGCCTCAGTTTCCCCACCCCTGAAACCATACCCAACAGTCCTTCTCTGAGGCTTGATGAGGGTGAAGGGACTTGGGTCGTGGAGGGGCCAGACAGAGGGAAGGGCCAGGCCGAGGACTAGGGTGGGGGCCGGGCAGGAGGCCCTGGGGACTGGCCGCAGCCTGGCTGACCTGACTGCACCCCCAGGCCCCGAGTCCCCCTACACGCACTGGAAGCAGACCGTGTTCTACATGGAGGACTACCTGACTGTGAAGACGGGCGAGGAGATTTTTGGCACCATCGGCATGCGGCCCAATGCCAAGAACAATGTGAGACGCTGCTGGGGCGGGGGCAGTGCTCGGGAGGGGCTCTGCTGCCTGCTCCAGGGTCCCAGCAGCCCTCCACTCGGTTGAGTCTGCGACCCCTGGGGAGACCCCAAGTGGATGGGAGGACACAGGGTCTGGAGCCTGGAGTCCAGGGCCTGGGCTAGAAGTGTGGATCTGTGGGTATGGGCCTGGGTAATACTCAGGGGTTGTGGCCAGAGGGTGTGTCCCAAGGACACACCCTTTTCAGAGGACATTTGTCCCTGTCTGAAGACATTCTGGGCTCTCATACCTGGAGAAAGATGCTGGTGGCCTCTAGCACAGGACTGTGGAGAAGCCTCGTTTCCAGCCCCAGATGTCCGTAGTACAGAGCTCGGGACAGCCCAGCTAAAGAGACCAAAGGAGTGGCCCAGAGAAGTCGGGAGGAAGCCCGAAGCCTGGGCCAAGGTGGTGGGACTGAGGGCAGAAGTCTTCAGGGTTATTGGCGGCCTTGGCCCAAGCTTTTTCCAGAGAGTGCTGGGGGGTGGGGAGCACAGAGCGAGGCCTGGCTTTCAGGAAGCCAGGGAGCGGAGGACCTACGGGCAGTCGGGTTGGGACCAGCGAGTGGGGAAGTGTGCTGGAAGAGATGTTTGCATCTTAGAAAAGAGGGAAGGAGTAACTGCTTTACTGGTGGGAATGGCTCTGATGCAGAACAGTTGTTACGCAAGAGACAGCCGCGGAGCTCTGGCCTGGAGGGGCGGGCTTGGCTGGGATCCCAGAGTCTCTGAGGGTGTCACAGGAGCCGAGGCTTGTGGGCGGATGCTGAGGGTGCGACCCGCAAAGAGGCGTCTCCCAGCCAGGACGTGGAGTCTCTGGGGAGCGTGGGAGGAGGCTAGGGGCACACCCCTGCCACGGCCTCCGGACTCAGACCATTCCAGACCTCTGCCTGTCCCGTGTCCAGTTCCCCTCACATCTGCCCTTTCCCCACAGCGCGACCTGGACTTCACCATTGACCTGGACTTCAAGGGCCAGCTGTGCGAGCTGTCCTGCTCCACTGACTACCGGATGCGCTGAGGCGGCACCCGGCTTCTCCCACCCCGGCCGGGCCGGCCCTGCACGGGCCCAGGGGCTGCGGCGTTCTTAGGCAGTTTGGGGGCGCCCCCTTCCTCTCCTTCCCTCCCTCAGAAGGGGGTTTTAGGGGTCTGGGCTGGGGCGGGGCACATCGTGACTGTGTTTTTCATAACTTATGTTTTTATATGGTTGCATTTACGCCAATAAATCCTCAGCTGGGACGGCTCGGCTTCCTGGGGAAGTGGGGTTGGGGTTCTGCATGCAGGTTCTGCTATGACGGGCTCAGCTGGCGGTCCTGGGATGGGCGCCTGATGGTCACTGTAGGTCTCTGTCCCCCCTGCTGTGTCTCCAGGTCTCGCTCCCTGGCTCTGGCCTCTTGTGGTCTTTGTCATCCATGGCCCCCTGCCAGGGTCTGCTCCCCTGTCCCCCTCCTCGGGTCCCTGTCTCTCCCCCACCTCCCCTGTCCCCCTCATGCCCCCTGAGGCCCTGTTCCCTCTTGTCCCTGCTTGCCCCTGGTTGCTCCTGACCCTGCTTGCCCCTGGTTGCCCTGCTGGGCTGGGGGAGGGTTGGGGTGTGGGTTCCCAGCATAGCTGGGCCCTTAAGTTTCCCAGAAAGCCATCTAACCCCCCCCTCCCCCAGCGCACACATTGTTTCAGTGTCTAGCTGTTTTTTCCTGTCCAGGACCCTCCAAGGCCAGGCCAGGGCTGACTGGCAGTGACTACTGTCCTGCCCTCTGCAGCTGGGGAAACTGAGTCATGGGGGGGTTATGTTAAGGGGTGAGAATTCCTTGTGTGTCGGCTTCCTTCCCTAGTCTAGCTGGAGACTTGGAGGTGGGGGACGAGGGTGTGGGGGGTTGTCCCACGTCAGGGCAGCAGGGCCTCCGTTTCCCTTCTTTACAGAGATGGACTGAGGCCCCACTGACAGCTCCCCAGGGACTGTGTTCACCCTCTACTGCAGGCATGGCATCTATACTTGCCCATGGCCTTGTGCAGAGTCCTTGGTCCCCCAGGATGCTGTCCACAGGACCCAGGTCACCTAAGCCACCATGACTTACCTGTCCACGGCCCTGGCTACACCTGCTTCACTACAGCTGGAGCCCTAGGCCCGGTCGGTGGCTTTTCACACTGGTCTACACCAGGTCCTCTTACGGGATGACATCTGCTGACTGTGCTAGGCCCCAGACTTCCTTTGTCCACCGCTCAAGAGGGCTCCGCGTCCGCCCCGCATCGCCCAACCCACAAAGGAGCCTGGCCCGCGGGACCTCATGGTCCCCGATGGGTTGGGTTGAGGTTGAGGTTGCAGGAGCCCAGCGCCTCCCTTTCCTGGAAGCCCTAAGCTGTGTCACCACTAGCAGGTGTCAGCTGCCCCGCCCCTCTCCCTCCGCCTTAAAGGGGTCCCTCTCCCGAGGCCTCCCAGGGTTATAGCTCTGCCGTGTAACTGCACCCGTCGGGGCTCGGAGGCCGAGTAGGACTTGGGAATCTGGGTTCTAAGCTTGCCCTTCTGGTGTGGTGTGGCCTCCTCGTCTAGGCCTCATTTTTCCCCGCGTGGGTAGTGGGGACTGGCCGTGATTCCTGGAGCCCAAGGGGGCCTCCAGGGAACTCTCCAACTCGGGAAGAGGGTGGAGCCGCACCCCGGAGGGGCCGCTTCGCGCATGGGTTTCAAGGACCACTCCCGGCCCCGCCCCACGATGACCCCCCACATCCTTCTGTTGCTTCTCGCCTCCACGGTCCTGGGGGACCGGGACCCCGTGGGCAGGTGAGCAAGGCGGGCCGGCAGCGGGGGACCGGGCGGGAAGGACACGGCGAGGAGCGTGCGCCCCCTTCAGGCCACTGCTTTCTGTGTGGGGGGAATGATGAGCTGTAAGCGCGCCTCTGCGGTCGCGGAGTTCTGCGGGCCCCGACCCCACCTACATCCCTTCCTCGAGAAGATTCTGTTTGAACGCGGCCTTCTCCCCTGCTCCCTCCCCAGGCAGCCCCAGCATCAGGTCGCCCAGCACCGCAGGCGCTTCTGTTCTCTGGTCACATGCCAGACCCACCGCCTGCCAGAGATGATCTACTGGCTCAGCTCCGCCTCCACCAAGGAGCTCTCAGGGAAGGCCGGCCGCGAGCCCCAGGACCCACACAGCTACGGGCGCCGCCGTCGGCGCGAGGCCAGAGCCCTGCTCCGTCTCCAGGACCCTGGCCTGAAGAAAAGAGGCCAGCGCAGTGCCTAGCTTGCTGCGTGACGTTGGGCACGTCCCTGGCCCTCCCCTGGCCTCGGCTTACCCATCTCGGTATTGGGGCCACGACCCCAGGTTTCTTTTTCCCCTAACTCCATCTCCTGGCCTCACTCAAAAACTCTCCCCGCGCTGTGACTGGGCTGGACCCAGGGGCACACCGGGACTAGCATGTACAAAGAATACCCGTAGAGTCCGGAGCCTAATAAAACGAGTTTCCTCTTTCAGCCTCTGCTTGTCTATGCCCGTTCCGGCCTCCCAGTCAGAGCCCAGTCTCTAACATAATCTTTCCCTTTATCCATGCACCTTTTCCCACACGGAAGTCCCTCTGCCTGTCTAACTTGAATCCAACCCGGTGTAGCTTCTCCTTCGCACCACTAAGTCCGCGCAGCTGCATTTTCTGTGGGCGGTCCCGGGGGGCTGACCCAACCCACAGAACAGCCCTCCCTCCTCGGGTTGGTAGAACTTTGATTCGTTCTGGCTCGATACCCACGCGCGTGACTTTACGTGTGCCCAAATGTGGGCTGTGAGTTCCAAGCTGAGCCTCGTTTTGCAGAGAGGAAGGAGAGTGAGACAAGGCGGAGTGGGAAGCCCAAGAACCTGGGGTTTGGAGGAGAGGAGCTGCTTAGAACCGGGGAAGCCAACGGTGGAGAAATCCGGCGGAGTAGAAAACGACTGAGGACTAGGGCTCGAACGGAGCGAGAGGATTGGACGCTGGGATTCGAGGGGGCGGGGATAGAACGCAGAGGGTTAGAAGGGGGCGGGGATAAAGCCAGAGACTGGAATACCCCGCAAGGCGCACGCGAGGCAGAAACCCGGATTCCTGGATGTTGGATAATTGGGGGCGACCAGAAGCTCCGGAGGCCCGACGACCAAGTCGTGGACTAGTCGCACTGGGATTGGACATATGCAAGTGGGAGACTTGGGTCTGGCACTCTAAATCGAGGGTGGGGGGCTGTGCTCGGGCTGGGTCTCCAGGATCGGATCGGCGGACCTCTGACTCAGCGTGGTAAGTATCGGAGGGGCCCGAGCTCCTGCGGGGCCTGGAGGCCTGTGGCTTGTGTTGGGCGTGCGGGCGTCTCCATCACCCGTCCTCGAAGCTCGCAGCCGCTCACAGCCTCAGCGTCCCTGGCTGTGAGGCATGCGCAGTAGGGTGCTTTCTACCCCTTCCCCTCCAGTCCCCAGCGCGGGGGGAGGGGGACGCCCTAGAGCGGACGAATTTATAGATATTCCCCACCCGCCACCCGCCCCCGCTCCTCCCCCGCCACTCCCCACCCACCCCATCCTCCCTCCTCGCCCCGGCATGGGAAGCGGAAATGGGGCGGACGGTGCCAACGTCTGGCAGGTGTTCATTTCAAATGGGTCTCGGACTGATGTTTTTCTCTAGACCCCGCAACTCAACCCTGGACCGGTTTCCCGCCCCCAACCCTGAATCTTGAAAGTCCTTCATGGGGAGGGGCGCACAGCCTTGCACCTCGTTCTCAGCAGAACCGCAAAAGGGATTAACGCGAATTGTTCCTCCTGGCTCTCTATGCGTTCACAGAGGTCCCCAGTTGACGTCCCTCCAACACCGGAGGTGTCTGGCCAAGTCCTTCAAGACCCCTTAGGTGGTTAAGGAAGGGTGAGCCGCCGTCCTGTATTCCTGGGTCTGTAAGGAGGAGGGGGTTGGGACCCGGACTCCTGGGTCTGAGGCTGGGGACATGGAGAATGACCCTCTGTCCACCTCCCAGGGCTCTAGCGAGACATGGCTGAAGCGCACCAGGCTGTGGGCTTCCGACCCTCGATGACCTCGGACGGGGCCGAAGTGGAGCTCAGTGCCCCCGTGTTGCAGGAGATCTACCTCTCTGGACTGCGCTCCTGGAAAAGGCACCTCGCCCGCTTCTGGGTGAGGAGGGCCACGGCTTGATTTCCTTCCAGGAATCCAGTTAGGTTCTGGGGTGGGCGAGGCGCACCTCCAGCATCTTGGTGGTTCCACTAATGGGATCCTATCTCCCCCTTCTGGGAATTTTGCTGTCGACTTTTAGAACCCCTTAAATAGCCATTTCTGGGTTCTCTAAGGCTTACTTGGGAACCCTCAACCTCACCTACTGGGAACCTCTATTTACCTCTTAACACCACTTCCTGGACCACTTCCCCTTTCCTCACACCCCCAACCCAGCTTCCACCCAATTTCTAGAATTCATACCCCATACCCCATGGTGCTCCCCTCAGCTTCCCCTTTCATCTCCAGGTTCTAAACTGGGTGATCATTTCTGAACACTGTGACCTGATCAAGATCTTGGTCAGCCCGCAGCCCAGTCCTGAAGGGCCCTTCTTCCCCCTAGCTCTTGTCCCTGGGTCTGGGGGCCACCTCCTTGCCCTTGCTTCTGAATCCCCAGTACATGTCTCCAGTAGGCAGTGCACCTTCCCTATGGTTCCCAGATGTGAACCTCCAAATGTCTATATCCACACTTCTCTATCGCTACAGACCCTGCTGTCCTGGTCTGGGCTCGTTGCCCTTGCTTTAGAATGCCCATGCCCAACATCTAACCAGAGCTCATGCCTGCCCCCAGGGTCCCCAGTTCTAGAGCATCCAGAGTCCCCCTGGTGGTCATGTCCTATCTGTGAACACGAGTCTTAAACACCTGTGGGGTTGGCCAAGCCTGACTTTGCATCACGGCTCAGCTACTTACCGGCTGTGTGACCTTGGGCAAGGGTACCTCTTCAAGCCTCAGTTTCCCCGCATGTCAAAAGGGGGCGATGATAACACTCCCCCCACAGTACAGTCTCAAGGTTTAAGTGAATTCTTACACTTAAGCACCTGGCCTGTGTCAAGTGCGGAGAAAGTGTTAGCTTTTGATAATATTGTTCTCAATTCATTAATCAGATATCTATGGAACATTTATTAAGGGTCTGTCACTGCTTGGGACACTGGGTACATGACAGGGAGCAAGACAGAATCCTGCCCTCGTGGAACTTTAGAGTTAGTTGGAGGAGAAGGCAATAAGGGGAGAAATAAGCAAGATGGCGAGTATGTCAGATCACGTGACTTGTGCACCGCCAGAACAGGGAAGAACAGTAGAGCCAGGCTGGAAGAGGGAGGCTGGGGGCGTTGTCACTAAATGAGGGGGTGGCCGGGGCCTGGAGAATGTCCTGAAGCAGAGACGTTTGGGCAGGCTGGATGGGACCTCTAGAGCCTTATGAGTTGTTAAAATAGAGAGATATCTGTTCCAGTGGATAGAAAGCCCCTACCCCAGACCTCCAAAGAGCTTTTGTTGTTGTTGTTAAGATTTTGTTTTATTTTATTAAAGATTTTATTTATTTATTTGTTAGAGATCACAAGTAGGCAGAGAGGCAGACAGAGAGAGAGAGAGGAGGAAGCAGGCTCCCGGCTGAGCAGAGAGCCCGATGTGGGGCTTGATCCCAGGACCCTGAAATCACAACCTGAGCTGAAGGCAGAGGCTTAACCCACTGAGCCACCCAGGCATCCCCACAGCCCTTGAATTTTGACAACAGCTGTGTAACCAACTTCCTAACAAGACAGGCCATTCTAGAATGTTCCTTTGAGCCCTTTCCTGGGGCGCGCCCCCCACTCAAGGCAACCACTGTTCCAATTTCTAGGCTTGTGGGTGGATTTTGACTGGTGCTGCATTGTTGACTATTCGGACCCCTAGTTTTGTGTCCCCCCAGACTCTCTTATTAGTATTAACTGATTATTGTAATAATGACCTGTGCCACAGGGCTGTCGTGCATCACGTGCAGTGGGTCATTTGGGCCAAGCATGTGGGACAGCGTCCGTGTGGGTGGTTCATCAGCAGGAGGTCAGAGTGACTCCCGAGATGGTTTCCCAAAGCACGTGGGACATGACACCTTGCTTTGTATCTGTCGCATTAGGGTCCCGAGACCCTCTGGATGATTTGAGGGGATTCACAGTGGCCTCTCCATGGCTTTGGACAAGTTCTTCAAAACTCCTGTCTTCTCAGTTTTTTTTTTTTTACCCGTGCAGTGGTCATAGTGATATTACTGCTACCTTACTGAGCAGCGGAGCAATGACATGATTTATTGATGCCCCTGGTCCTTGGGAAGTGCTCGGGAGACATTTCCCCTTATTATGAAGCCCCTGTTCTACCACAATTCAGAGCAGCAGATAAAGGAACCTATAGCTGCCCTTAATAAGGAATATAGGGGCGCCTCAGTGGCTCTGTGGGTTAAAGCCTCTGCTTTCGGCTCAGGTCATGATCCCAGGGTCCTGGGATCGAGTCCCACATCGGGCTCTCTGCTCAGTGGGGAGACTGCTTCTCCCTCTCCCTCTCTCTGCCTGCCTCTCTGCCTACTTGTGATCTCTGTCTGTCAAATAAATAAATTAAAATAAGAAATCTTTAAAAAAAAAAAAAAGAAGGAATCATAAACAATGAAATCACCACGTTTGCACATAAGCTTTTCTGGCCGAACCAAAGAAACATCGTCAAGTGAATAAATCCCCAAGGAGAGGCAGAGTGGCAACAGAACGGGTCATGGTAATCATGTTTATTGAGTACCTACTGTGTGCCTGGCTCTGAGCTATGCAGTTTCCCCCACCCCCGCAGCCTCTTTGGCTTTATTTTTCTCCATATTCTACTGCCTTCTGTCACACTACCCTAAATCTTTTTCTTGGGTAGCAGTTGTCTCTGTCCCCCAGAACAGCAGGACTCTTGCTGTCTCATCACTGCTGTAGGACTGTGATCAGCATTTGCTGAAGGACGTTTTCTCATCCCACACTCATGACAGCCCTGTGAGCCCCCTACTGGGATTGTTCCCATTCTAGAGATGAGAAAACTGAGACAGAGAGGGGAAGCCACTTGCTTGAGGTCACTTAGCTTGTTAGTGACAGAGCCCAAGCTCTCATCCATGAACCCTGAGGCTTTTCTGCTGCTAAATGTGGGGAAAAGAGAGAACTCGATTTCTTGAGCCCTGATGCCAGTACCCCCACTAACAGTAGATCTTATCCTGCTCTCTGCGTGACCTTGGACCTAAGTGTT